CCGGTATACCCTACCCTTATCCCCTATCCCCCTAACTCCATACATACATACATGCTCTATAACTACCTCCCTCCTCATGGATAATATATACTAATAAAGCGGGTGGGTAATAGCAACATGGTCCCGCATCGCCGAAATCGCCAACGAAAACAGCTTTTACATGAACTACGCCAACTTCTGGGGCTATCCGGACCCGGACATGCTGGAGGTCGGGAATGGGAATTTGACTCTCGCGGAGAATAGAGCGCATTTTGCTCTGTGGGCCATGATGAAGGCGCCGTTGATAATTGGGACGCCTGTATACCTCTCCCCTCCCTTCCCTTCCCACCTACTTTATACACCTGACGGACATGTGCTAATTTGAAATGGTATTGTGTGTAGTTGGATTCCATCGACACCTCCCACCTCACCATCCTCCTCAACAAACCCCTGCTGACCTTCCACCAAGACGCTGTGATCGGGCGCCCCGCGTACCCGTATAAATGGGGATATAATCCCGATTGGACGTTTGATGCCGAGCATCCGGCGGAGTATTGGTCTGGGCCGACGTCTTCTGGGGAGGTGTTTGTGTTGATGTTGAATTCGGAGGATGGGGTGAAGACTCGTACGGCGGTTTGGGGGGAGGTGCCTGAGTTAAAGGGGAAGAATAAGAATTCGAAGGGGAAGAAGGGGAAGAAAGATAGTGGGTTTAAGGTAAGTGATGCGTGGACGGGTAAGGATTTGGGTTGTGTGAAGGATAAGTATGAGGTCAAGTTGCAGGCGCATGATGTGGCGGTTTTGGTGGTCGGGGAGGAATGTTAGGTCTCTCTTCTCTCGTTCCTTATTGGGTGTTGGGTGGGTAATGGGGATGGGTGGTTACTATATATATAGTATGGTGGGAGCGTGGGAATGTGGATGATGGTATAGTCATTATCATTATATTGCTCCAATCGCTATGCTGCCTCGATGCTACCTCCACAAATCTTGTCGACTCTCTCGTCGCCATCCTCCGCTGCTCTTTGGTCGTCCATCGTCTACCGGCACTGCCAGGAATCCACCAAATCCATTGCCCACTAGCACGCTCTTGCGTGCGTCTCCGCCCCATGATCGACTGAGCTGCGCGTCGTGGAAGCTCACCGGTCGGGTTGTGCCATCGCGCCGTCCTCGTGTTGATGGTGGCTCGTACGGCGTAAAGTTCCATTCTAGCTCGTCCAGACCCTTGCTGTACACGTTTAGGGGCTGCGAGATTCCTCCGCTGAAGAACTGTGGTCCGCCCTCGCCGCCACCGAATAGTCGCGGGGGCGGCGCCAGCAGCAGTGTCTCCGGGAAGCTGGCGTCGCGCACGTACAGGTCACGCAGTCCCGGCAGGCAGTTCGACATGAGCGACGAGATCAGGTACGTGTAGTAGGATGCAGCTACTGGCGGCAGGCCGTACGACCCCGCCGGCGAGGTGATCTCGTAGTGCAGTAATTGCAGCGACCGGGAAGACAGCGGCGGAACCCGGTCGGTCGGGAAGGACCGTGATACGTCCTGAATGACTGATAGGGCGTGTAGCTGCGGCGCAGCCGACAGGATCTGGTGCAGAGTGGATGGGAGCACCCCCGTCGCAGATAGTGTCAAATATTGTAGTTCCGTGCGGTTCAAAGGCAGGGAGAGTACGCCGGCAAGCCCGCTTGCCGTGACGTTCGGGGTATCGCGAAGGGTCAGCCGCTGGACGGCTGGGAAAGGAGGCAGAGTGTCGGAGAGGTCAAATGCCGAGTCGTCCAGCCACGGCAGGTCGTCGAGGGTCAGGTCGCGGAGTTTAGGAAACGAGGCCAGCCCCATGCGAAGAAGCCGCGGCTCAATGTATAGTCGAGAGAGTTCCAGCACCTCCAAATTCTGCCACAGACGGGCTTCCGGCAACTGCGAGAAGCTGCCCTCGGCGCCGTGTCGGTAGGTCATGCGACGCAAATCCGGACACCGTCCGATAAGTTCCTGCTTCAACGCCAGACACGACGCGTCATCGCTGTATATCCCCGCCGGCAGGTCAACGTAGCGTATGTTGGGCGTCACGGAGATGGTGCGCGCAATCTCCGCCTTGCTGGCCTCGCGTGTCATGTACGGCATCCGTAGAGAGAGCACCATGCGCCCTAGGTCTCGCGAATCTCGGACAGTCTGCATGAACAGCTGCAAGCGTACTTGTGGGGCATCGATCGCTTCACCATTGCGGTCGAAGAAGGAATGGCGTTTTCGTTTGGCGGCAAGTTGGACCTCGAGCTCGCAGTAGTGAACGGCGTCGATACGGACGTGAGCGTAACTAAAACCAGCGATCAGCAGAGAGCGGAATTAATGGACAAAGAAACTCACAGCAAAGCCCGAGCCTCCAGATACCACCGTTTACAGACCACGGCACAATGTGCCAGGTCGCGCATATCACAGAGCATGCAGCCATCCTCTGTCATCGACTCCTCGGAGGTATCATAGCTCGAATCGATGGTGTGCGGACACACATAGGTGAAGATGCGAGCCAGCAGCGGTCGGGGAAGCTTCTTGGTGAGGTCGAGGCCGGCGAAAGTGTGGTGGGAGTCAAGGCAAAGGTGGTCGTAGGAGGTGGCCACATTCCCCGCGCGGCTATGGCTCTTGGACCGCCTGCGAAGCCGGCTCAGTAAACCCATAGTGGTGAGCAGACAAGCGGCATGGACGGTTGCAATGGACTGGAGGGAAACGAGGAGCGAACTTAAAAGGGGAGATGGAGCGGTGGAACAAAGAGACCGTTAGGGAGCCAGGAGAAAGGCAGCGTGGGAAGGATGCAAGAGCGAGTGAATAATCAACGGCGCGGTGGTGATTGATTGGTGTCGGGAAAGCTGTGTGATGTGAAGTCGCTGCATGAACCCGCAGTTCGTCCCCATTCCAGCGCGTCGCTGGTCAAAGCCGGGGCCGAGCACCGTTTTTTTGAAACGCTTGATTGGCAATTGGCGCAGGACTCATCACATTAGCAAGCGAAATGAGGGGAGACATGTCCCCCAGTTGGTTCATATAAGGGGGGCAGGCGGGTGTTTCATGTTTGCCTCAGGGATTGCTTGGTGGTTGGCATTTTGGTCCCATTTGCCCCAGAGGGTCTCGGCGGAAATTGATCCCAGTTCAACGACCGACGCCGGTGGCTGCAGCAGGGCTGAATATCCACCACATAATGGCTGGAAAGGGTTGAAGGGTCTTTCCTTCAAGCTGATGAATGTAGTAAAATTAAGATCCAAGAATTGAGAGAGATTCTCGCGCGGTCCTCGACGCGTGACCCCAAAGAGTGCCACTAACCCGATGGGGTCATGAGCAATACTCCTCCAGCAGTCTTTATATACCCTAGAACAACTCACCAGCTTACCTACCACTGCTGCATACTGTCAATAGAAAACTGCATCATAATTTTAAATAAGCTTATCTAGAACAGTCTCTGATCCATTGCCCTCTTCTGGCCACTCACAAAAACAGGGCCCCGTCAACTACATCGCCATGACATCATGTCCAAGAACCAGCCCTCAAGACAAATAAATAGCCATCATGCAGACGATCAAGCCAATTCACCTAGTACACTTCCAGGGTAGTCTATATCACTGCGTACATACTACTCCAGGCTATGCGACTTCCCAGACCCTTTTTCTGCCACTCCAGACCCCTGCCACTCCGAACGCCACCCTCCCTATTCAACCGCATCAGCTTCATCCATTTCCAGCCCACAGCAGCTAAAATGGCAAACAACACTCAATACGGAGGCGATCCTCTCCCCGATGTGGGCGCCACCTATCCCTCCCAGAACAACCAATCCAAATCCGGCGAAGACGACTGGACAAAGCGTCCGCCCTACAGCATCCGCTCCCCTGAGGAATTCGGTCCCGTGAAATGGCGTGGGAAATGCCAATGCGGCCAGGTGACTTATCAATTAAGCCGGGACCGACCATTGAAGTCTAAATTCTGCCACTGTCGGGGCTGTCAAGTGACGCATGGTATGTCTGCCGTGTCGTAGTTTCTTACTTGCGAGGTAGTAGTGGCTGAAACATGCTGACTGTGTAGGCGCGCCATTCCAATGGGCGGCTATTTTCCATAAATCCGATCTCGCTTTTACGAAGGGGGCTGAAGGCCTGTCGTTCTACTCCTCCACGAATGACACCCAGGAGTATAAGCTTCCGACTAAGGTGTATTGTTCCTATTGTCGATCTCCTATTATGGACGAGGGACGGAATGTCTGCTTGATGTTTCCGCAGGCCATCGAGAGCGCTGATCATGATGAACATCGACAGCTCTGGCGCGAGGCGTTTGAACCAGAGTAAGTGGTCCTTGGGGTGCCGGCTTAGATTGCACGATGCTTATGATGTCGTATAGGTGCCATATCTTCTACGGCAAGCGAGTCCTGGATATTCCGGATGGGAAGCCAAAGTGGTCGGGAATTGATGAGCAAAGTGATCTTTTGGATGAGCAAGGCCGCAAGAAGGAATGACTGGATGGAAAGAATAGTAGCCCCCGGAGCCGGATGTAGATACACACGTTTTGTTTTTCTCTATTATTTAGCTGTCACGAAGTATGAGCAATGATTAGGCTTCAGCCTTGCCAGAGTTCCCGAGCAGCTGATACTACCAGCGGGCCAATAACATCGACTAGATTGAAAACATGTTCCTACTGTGTAAGTCCCCTTCCGGCTCTAAATCAGGGTGATCGACAGGGCTAGAGAACTTCAAGTAGTCATCACGAGCATGTGAGAGCCGGGAAGATTGGCACCCAACCAGCTGCAGTGACCACGAGTGCAGCTATGCTAGCCAGCAGCTGACGACTTCAAGACTAATCCAGTCCATACCCCTGAAATTCAGCACGATGCCATCCTCATCGGTCACTCCGGGGTGTCAGTAGGCACCAGGTTCATCCGCGAGACCTGGAGTGTAAGGCGGGGTTAGCCAGCCGTAGATAGATAGCATCGCGAACATAGAATATATTATGCCGCGATACCTAGATAGATGCTCTCCAAAGTAGGCTGTTCACCATATAAGCAGTGCATGATGTGGCTTAAAAGCAAATACACCGTGGTGGCTCTTCTCGCCGCACCGGCGGCAGCCGTCACACAGATATCCAACGATGAAATGAACAACTTCCTAAGCCAAGGCGCTGTCGAGCTCGCTACCCGTTACGCACCTCTCTGGTTCTTCGGCCAGGCAGTGGACCAACCTCCCTGTTATCCGACCTGGGCTTTCAGCGGCTCGCCCAACTCGTCGGACATTTACGACGCGGCTCACAAAACACCCGCTGCACCACAGTGCGAGTATCCAGACGTTGGCTGCGGATGTCGCAAACCTGGAGTAGCAACAGGGAATCCTGGTCCTGAATTTCCCATCTACTACACGTTCAAGCAGTGCAACGAGACCGATGTCCGGGTGGTGTATAACCTATTCTATGAAAAGGACGGGGCCGAGGTGCTGGATCTGATTGACACCGGCCATGACTAGTAAGACGTCGCCTAGACCAAGCCAATCATTTAAAATGACAGCCTGATGTTCTCGACCAGTGACTGGGAACGAGTCGTCATCATCCATTCACGGAATGCGAACAACACCTGGCAACCCTCTCGAGCACTTCTGTCAGCCCATAGCGGCTACCATAATCTGGCATGGGGCAGCATCCATAGCACGCTGACCACAGAGCAAATCAACGCTGGGGACGCTCGACAGCCCGATGGAGTCAAGAACAATGATCATCCGAAGGTGTATGTGTCGTGGTCGAAGCATGCACATTTCGACACCGTCTTGACTACTTGGCTCGATCCGCTCAGCCAGTCACTCGATAATGCGTTTCGCAGCGATGACTGGTGGCACTTTGTTGACCCGAACTACTATGTACGTTTCAGTATCCCTGGCCACAGAGTATCGCATCTAACACCCAACAGATACGATCGGATAACTCGACCGCAGCGGGAATAGCATTCAACAGTACGGACTGGGGGTCAGCGACGAGTAATCCGCCATACGTGCAACAGAGCGTATGCTCTGCGCCGTAACAATCTAGTCGTATACTATTCAGATGATAGACATGTAGCGTAGAACCCAATTGATGGATAGATGATTGTACCAGAATGAGCCTGTAGTATTGCAGCGATAAATAATCATCCCATCGGGAACCTGAAAATGACGTCGATGCGCGGTTCCCCCACCAGAAATTCAATCCCTCACTCCAACAACATCACAACAACAACCTCATCAAATAATTCCCCCCTCTTCCCACAGAACAGTAACTGTACGTCCTCCCCAATTTACTACTCACCAACTAAACCACCCTCCCCCATCCACCACCTTCCCTCCTCCCACCTCACCCGCAAACAACCCACCACCCAACCCCGCAACCTCAAAACCACACACAACAAACAGCGACAGCTAACCAAGCCAGTCCCAACTCACAAAACCTCAACAACAATGTCGTGGTACCAAAAGACCTTCACCCTGCCAGCCCGCTCACGCGGCAGCTACCTCATCACGGACGAGGTGCTCGAGCAACTGCCCGAGATCAAGAACTACAAGGTCGGCATGCTGAACCTGTTCGTGCAGCACACGAGCTGCGCGCTGTCACTGAACGAGAACTGGGATGACGATGTGCGCGCGGATATGAGCGATGCGCTGGATCGCATCGCTCCGTATGATAAGAAGGGGAACCTTTATAGACATTCGGCTGAGGGGGAGGATGATATGCCGGTGCGTTTGTCCTATCTTTGATCCTTTGGGGATAATGGTAATGGGGGGTCGCTTACGTGTGTTGGCAGGCTCATATCAAGTCCGCGTTGATTGGCGCTTCGGTTACGATTCCCATCTCGAATGGTCGCTTGGCTACGGGTACGTGGCAGGGTATTTGGTATTTGGAGTTTAGGGCCATGAGACACTCGCGGAAGGTGGTTGCTACGATTCAAGGGGAGAAGGCTTGACTTGGTTGTGGTAGTGGTGGTGGTGATGATGGTGGGGGAGTGCGGTTGTGATTGTGGTGGGATATGTAGAGTATGTAGAGTGGATGGCGTACGTGTGGATATATCAGAGTATATCCTAGAAACTGAAATATTCGATCTAACGACTTCATTGACCTGGTACATCTGTACAACAGCCGTATGGCTAAAGGATAAAAACAAAACATCGTCAACGCCTATAAAATCAATCTTTACCGCTGCTCGAATCCGCCCTCGGTCACACGCTGGCTCTCGTTCACCTCGGCGGCATCACCGGTGGGCTCGAGAGGGTAGCTGGTGGCGGGGAGGGACTTGAGGTAGGCACGGTGTTGCTCGTGGGCCTGTACATTATTAGCACGTATCATCGACACTAATTCAATGGCAACATACGAAGGGAAGACCGCAGTAGCCGCAGGTAGCAATCTCGGGCTTGTCGGTGTTGATGAAGACCTTGGGGTGGCCCAGGGGACCGCCACCGCCGTCACAGCTGACGACGCGCTTTTTCGTCCAGCGGACGGGCTGTCTGTGGATGAGCTCAATGGCAGCCAAGGGTTGGGGCTGAGAAATGTTAGCGTTTCTTGTGTCTTTATATATCGATATTGCCGTGATCATGACATTCCCCATCCCACACGACCAATTGACCGGAACTGAGCGGAGGAAGGTCTTAACAACGCACCTGCAACTCCATTATCGTCTGCTCGAAGCGAGGACCAACCATGGCCTTCTCCTTCGGCTGCTGGCTGGCAGCCCAGGTGGTAGCCCGGTTGGGAGCCTGGAGGTGACGGGTGCGCTCGCCCGCCTCGGGTTCCTCCCTCAGGGGAGCATCCCAGCCACCCATGGCGTCAACGGGAGTAGCATTGGTGCCAGAGACATTTGGCTTAGCGGTAGGCGGGGTCGGGTCGTTGGCAGGGATGAAGTTCTCGGAGAGGCGAGGGACGGTGGTCGAGTAGCTGGCCCGGGCGGCGAATCGGGGGGTGAAGGTGGAGGAAAGGGTCGCGACCCGGCTGCGGAAGCAGGGCAACATGCTGGGCAATTGAGGTCCGGAATGGGACGAGAGAGTAGCTGGCGGATGGAGCGGAGGTGAGGACGAAAGGACTCGGGTTGGAGAGAGATTGGATGAGGTTTCCAGTTTGCGGGAGCTGCTGCGCTTGAGCCGCCGGCCAATCGGCGGCGCTCCTGCGGCTGATGCGGTGGGATTCTGCCGCCTGGGAATTTCGGCTTTGCAATCACGGCCATTCTGCTGGCTGTCGTTCTTCAATCCTGGATGACTTCAATTTTTGCTTGTTTTTGACGGTTTTCGGTTTTGCATTTACATCTTCTACGCATTCGTCATGAGGGGCTCTCCTACCTCTGGCTCCAAGCCAGAGAAGACCATGTCTTCGCGGCTGCTGACCATGAAGGTATGTTTAGCAACATCACAATTTATTTTCTTTTTCCGTTCTAAGAATACTAAAATAATGTCATAGTTCATGCAACGTGCTGCTGCCACAAATGCTGCCCGCGAAACATCTCAGCCCGCTTCCACCGACGAGTCCAAGGCCTCTACTCCCCCGAAGCGACAGAGATTGTCCACCGGCCCCGCTGAAAGTCCCATCGGCACTCCCAAGTCGGATCTCGAGGCGATCTCGGCTGCCCTTGCTGAGGAAGAGGAAAAACGGAAGGAAGCACTTGCACGCCAGGCTCAAGACTCGGGTGACACAGAATGGGTGCTCGACTATGGTGTAGCGGAGCCCGTTGCTCAGTATGCGCCGCCGCCGTTCATTGTTGCGGATGGCTCGCTGGATGCGGACGATGATGACATGGCTGTTGGTGGCCGACAAGCATACGGCAATTTCAAACGAAAGAAGAAGACCGCGGTTTGTTTCATCACATGATACACATTCAACTTTTTTCTGACATTTTGTAGACCGGTGAAACCGAGGCCGGGTCCGATGATGACGATGTTGATGCGATGATCAAGAAGGAAAGCAACAAGCCACATCGTGTCAAATTGTCACAACTCACAAGTATCTCTGGTGGAAGACATTCGACAATGGGCGACGATAAGAAACAAAAGAAGCGCAAACATAAATAAAGTACACTTGAAAACCGACACATCTGGAGACAAGTATGTTCCGGGCCTTGCTCGCCAGAAGATGAAATTCGACATTGCCTTACCAATAAGTCCCGTTAACCCTCGCTTGGACGTGATCATGAGCCTGGTAGGCCTCATATGCTCGGTCGTGGTAGCCCGTCATGGGTGAATATGAGTACGGGTGGGCATCGGTACCACTCTTAGGCGCTGTGCCATACCAATGGCTTCTGCCGGGATATTTGTCTTTTGATCTATCATAGTCGACGACTGCATTCACTCTTGGTTCTACTCTGTCGGCAGTGGGACCGTACAGATATCTGGCAGACTGCATTGCTGACCTACGGACAGCAGGTTGGCCGTTCGTGTACTGGTATGAGGACGTGTTATGCTGTCGGGTATTCTCTCCTGGCTGACATTGAGCTTGACGAGACTCTTCATCTCTTTCTTGGCGTTCCATGAGTTGTTTGCAAGATTCTTGGAGCTGCGCGTGTTTTCTGCGGCGCTCGAGCCAGGCCTCTTTGCCCAGCTCCAAGAGCTCACTCTTTGGGACTAGATGAACTGCTTTCGTCAGCCCGATCACTTTGAGTACCTGCATTACATACCGCGCTTCTGTGGAATGCCCCCAGTGTACTGCAGACGACGGGTCTGAAGGGTAGTATTATACTGTCTTTTTGGGTCGATTGGCCGGTATGCTTGCAGGTAAACGTTGGGAGGAAGCGATGAGCTATCTGCACGCTGCTCTCGTCTGCGGTATAGCGTAGGACTTCGCTCGTCCACCTCCACCCAGTATTCCAATTCATCGAAGCAGAAGCACATCTTTAGCGCGTGTTCTAGATACCAGCTATAGTACCTGACCTAGTCATCACTCGTCAGTATTCATCCATAAATTCAATTCAACATATTCATACATACTCCTTCGCACCAAATGCACTATCTTGTAAAGCTCTGTACTCGAATGCTCAAAGCGAGATGTTCATACAGTCACCCCCTGCCTGTGCAGTGAGTAGAGGTGACGGAGAATTCTGGCTGAGTGAAATTGATCATGCTGCCAGCGTGGGACTGAACGCCGAGAACCAGCTATACCTCCCTGGGCAGTCACCAGCAGGTGTTCCAGACGACGACTAAGCAATCCAGCGTTATCACCAGCATGTAATATCATTAACACGAACCATACAGCTTACATCCAGCACAAGCACACCAATTCACACCACCAACCCTACACCCATAGCCATAGCTATACCTACAACTTTGCCTTCACCTCCCTCTCCCTCTTCTCCCACCCCCTCTTCAACCAGAAATTCACCCCCAAATTCCACATCGCAACCGCTACACCCACCGGGGGCACCAACCACAACATCCAAGCCCACCACTGCGGCGTACTCTTCCTAACCACCCTCATCGCCCTCTGCACCTCACTCTCCAACTCCCCCTTATCCCCATCATTCCACACCACCACGCCCCTCGCCGACTTCACCCCCCGATACTCCGCCCTCTCCACCTTCCCCTTGACATCCCCCTGACTCCTCACTCGATTCTCCGCATCCTCCGCCGTAAGATGCGCATCCCTCTTCCTCAACCTCTCCATCTGCACCGTCGGATCCGAAACCCCCACCACCATCACCGTCCCACACAGCAGATCCATCCCGCTCTCAAACAGCAACGGCACATCCAGAACCACCGCCCAGTGACCGCGCACATAGTAGTATAGCAGTGCTTTGTAGACCTCGCGCCGTACGGCGGGGTGCACGATCTTGTTGAGGATGGCGCGGTCTCGCTTGCGGGCTTCGGTGGTGCCGAAGACGCGACGGCCTAGTGCAGGGCGGTTGAGGGGGCGGTTTGTGGTTGCTGTTGTGTCATTGGGATCAGATGCTGGGAGGAGAAGATCCGGGGTGGTTGGGCCAAAGTAGTTCACGATGGCTTTGTAGCCTGGGGTGCCGGGCTCGACGACTTTGCGGGCGATAAGGTCGGTGTCGATGATGGGGAGGGAGTAGGGTGCTGCGGAGAGGATGGAGGAGACGGTGGATTTGCCGGTCGCGATGGAGCCGGTGAGGCCTATTATGAGCATTTTGGGTGTTCTTTGTGTTGTTTACAGGGTAAAGGTGATGTTTCGTGGAATGTTAGGTGGGAGATGAAGTTGGAGAAAGTTGGTTGGTGATCTGCGGGGAGAGCTGCAACTTGGACCGAGGCCAAGATTACTACCCGCTGGATTGATTAATTCAAACACATGTTTCTGGTCTGTTGATGAACGTTCAATGCGTCAGAATTATTTCGTGTCTAAATAGTCTATCGTAAATATTATACAGGAAGAGAATTTTTTCCTCTCGTTTCATACCCCCAATTGCAATCCCACGGCAGGAAAGCCCTCTCTAGTACCTCCACGCTTGGGATATTGTACCTGTCAACTTCTCACTTTTCCTCCCAGCCGATCCTGCCGTCTGCCTCGCTTCTTCAATCATTGTAAACAACAACAACAGGTAATCGCGCGATATCAATAACAGTCGCAGGGAATTCGAATGTTTTCTGGAAGGCAGTGAAGAGTTTCCGGTCCTTGTTCCCCATCCTCAGGAGTCGGATTGACCTGCTCCCGAGCAGAGTTGAAGCGGTTTCTAGCGGACTGCGGTTTGGTGTTGTATTAGTATGATTGCGCCCAAGAGTATATCTATCGAATCCATCTCACCTGGCCGCCCAATCAACCAACTGCAGTTCCACACTTGTGGCAATTCTTGCCGGGGATGACCCAAACATCAGTCCCCTCTGAAAGACAATGGGGACATTTCATTCCGGGCATCTAGTATGTCATTAGCATCGGTCGCAAAAGGATAATCACACACATAGCAACTCACAGGCATGGTGACGGCTTCGCAATGAGATCAACACAAGGAGAAACAGATAGTATAAAGCTCTCAACCAGAGGATCAATTGTGATGTGGAAAGTAGTAAAAATCAACTGAAGGGTATTCAAAGGATTATAGACTTGTTCTTCGACAGAGTTCACCTTGTCTGGGACACGCTTTTTTTTCCACTCCATGAACTTAATCTCATCGGTCCCGAGCATCCCACCTATATATAGCCAAAACTGGACTTGTTTGTGTCCCCCCCTCCCCCCTCCACCCCCCATTACGCCTCCTGGGGCAGGCGACCTATGTTCCCATCGGGAGATCTTCACCTTAGTCTGGACCGATTGATTGGAGACACGACCTGGCCGGACTCAATGCATCCAAAGATCAATCATACATGGACCCTGGTTTAGGCAACATGTCATGTCCGCCGCAGCAATTATTCGGATGACTCGGATCTTCCCGTCGATGACTTGCATCTGGGGGTCCCAGCTAAGGGGAACCTCAACCAGGGAGGGTTTCAGCTCTCCTTACCTTGGTGTGATAGATACGTGTTGGGCTATACCGAAAATCGTCTAGGTGGGTGGGAAGAGTGAGTGATGCATGCCACAAGGGCTGAGATGTGAGCGATAAAGGAAAAAGGAAAGAGAGACGTGAACTATAGCAGCAGAGCAGGGGGGGAGGCAGGAGGGATTGGACAGGGAAAAGGTGACAGAGAAATTCCCACAAATCCCCGAAAGGACCACTCAGCATTTGAGATGCATACAACAGACCGTTTTATGCAAGCTACGACGGGGTTCTCGGTAACCGGGCCCTTGCTGTATGTCCTATGGCCAAAAGAGCAAATGGATTGTGACTGGTGTTGGGAGGCCGGGAGGATCAATCTCTCCATCCCTAATCCCACACATCGTAGTGGGCTCTCAGCACAAAAGATCAGCTCCGAATTTTACCATCTGATGCTAACAATGTATAGGTCACACTCAATCTAAATTGATGCTCGATGCGAGTACGCTACCGAGTTAGCGCCGGCTGCAGCCCGTCTCGCGCATATGGCGGGCTTCAGGACGCAATCCTCGATCTGCACAACCCACGGCGTTCCCAACAGCCACATTGTATTTCTCTCTGCATATCCTGATTTATGTGATATGCCCGTCTAGCTTCAAACGGGTGTCTGCTAATTACTCATGCAAGAGTTTCGTCGTTGTGCATGGTGTCGTACTCAATCAGCCGCAGGTTGTTGGCCAAGTGGGGAAAAGAATAAACAATTTCAGAAATAAAAGAAAATTTGTCGTTCATTCGCGCCTCAACCAATGATGTGGCTAGAACCCCTACAGCCCAAGGAGGCTGTCCAGCTGAGATCTGATCAGTGACACTCTGGTCCACTTGGAGCCCGGCTGTACGAATCACCCACCCTCCCATGCGATCTGAGGCTGTTCTACATGCCGAATTTTGGGGAGTCCATCTTGTGGAATGGAAACCCATGGTGTAGAAAATGGCATTTCATCTCCTGCCTATGAAGCCATATTGTTTGCTACCTTCTGGCTGCCCGTCCCCTCATCTGCTATCGGACTAAGCACCAAGCACTAAGAGGACTGACGGGAGGGATGGAATGCCGATGCGCCAATGATCAGGCCGGATCAGTCAATTACACCACACAAAATCACCAGTCAATATCGGGACCCTGTCTTCTGCACAGATCTATACCGATGGTTGGGAGTGGTCTATTCGTTAGATGTACCAGCGCTGCGAATGCAACGTGCAAGGGCTACCCTGGGTACTTCGACTGCGCTTCTACTCTTGCTTCTATGAGTCGTTTTTCATTTGCATGCGTGTTATGTATAGATTATTTTATTCTATTTTTATTTCTGCTATTTTTTATTTTCTTATTTTGGCCTGATCTTCGCGTTCATTCCGTTCAAGTCTCGGGGTTATGAAGACACCCCGACACAGGTGGCCGGTTTCAAGTCCGACGGTGGGACAGGTAAACGCACAACTTACTCTATCACAGTTCGGTGGATTAACCATCGCCAGACGTTGATCAGTCTATCACTCACGTCTTGGCCAGGAAAGCTCAGACCGACTTACGGCCGGTGATTCGCAGGCAGGAATTGGATACATATAAGCTGTGGAGCCCCTGACCTCGCTTGATGGGCCGAAGCGCGATCCGAATTATGCGGATAAGGAGGGCTGATTGGGCGAGGTTATTCTCCGCTGTTTGTCCCCCTCGTCGACCCTGTTTTTTTTTTTTTTCTATTCTTTGATGTAGCCATGCAGCTGGCACAGTCACACTAATTCTTTTCACCCCCGGGGCCAGTTCATCCCAATCCCTTTGCCTTCTTTCGGTGCTTCGAAGTAGCTCCGGACATAGACTACGAGTCTAGCGCCAAATTACCGGCCACGCTAGACCGGTAGTCGCCCCCGAATATCGTAATTGGACACTAAAAGCAGCGTGATATTCATCGAATGTGACATGTCACACTTAGTAGATATGGGGGAAAGGAAGGGACCCGCTCCTGTCAAACAACGATGGCTAATCTAAGGAAGATAGTAACAATATACTATCTATCTATCTTTCGGGATAGGAATAGGGACAGATACTATTTACGGGGTACTCTATCAGTGAACTCTGCTCGGTAGTAGTACTACGCTCTCCATCTGCATCTCCACCAACCAACCCAACCATCAATCCCCGCCCATTCCCATCAGTTCTGTTTCCCCCTCCCACCTCTTTGTTTGCTTGCTTGTCCCATATTCCCGGATTCCATCCATCCATCCATTCATCAAGCAGAAAATAAACCCAGATTTTTCAAACCAAACCAAACCAAATCCATCCTGCCGCGCCATCATCATTCCTGAAAGGAAAAATCGCACAGTTAGGCTGCCATCATTGGGAACTCGCATCACGCTCACCGCAATTTATTTTTCTCACTACCATTGATGCATTATAGCTCAGCAACAATAACAACAACAGTATTAAAACTCTTCACCGCGTGTATCCACCCCTAGGTGGAAGGGCTTTTTCTGGTCCCCGATATCCCTCATGTATAATATAATTATAATGTAATGTTCAAGATTGATAAACTTTCGAGCCAAATGCATCTTGCATACATATCACCACCAGCTTACTTTTTTTTTAATACTCAAAGGCGTGGTGGGGAGGGGGGAAGGGCCCAGGTATGTGCATATGTAAGTCGTCCTCTTCTCGGCTTGCATGGGTCCGTCCGGCGGTCTCAAACAACCTTCGCCAGCTCGCCACAATTCCAGGATGCTCGGGGTTCGTTCTTGCTCAAACGTCCTGCAGTCGCTGACTGGTACTACTGAGTTACTAGTTCCCGGGGTCCTCGATGACTGACTGACTGACTGGCTGACTGACTGACCGAACTGGCTGGTTTGAAAGATAATCATTAATGAAGCTTTCCCGGCACGCAAGGTGATATACTCTCATCATCACCACTAGTCGTGCGCAGTAAGCCTAACGATGCTACTGGATACTTGTGTCGTACAAGCCTTTTCGGCGGTCCTTTGAGTGATCTAAATCCCATCCACTTCATTGGATGGATATCTACTTACTACCTTACCACGGGCGCATTGCATTGCGAACCATTCCTTTCTGTTTTGTTCTGCAACCACTGCATGAAAGTGAGTGCTTTAATTGCTAGAAATTGCCTCATACTGGTTACCCCTTGAAAAGAAAACCCGCCGTGGCCAGCACAGCGGGTTTCCTGTAGTAAGCTCTCCCTCTCCACATGTGCAGACGCCATACATACATTCATTTCATGTATGTACATTGATCGTACAACCGGACGCGCGCGAATTTTTTTTTTTTGTTTCTTTCTCATCCTCCCTGCCTCCGGCTCCTGGCTTCCTTCCTTTCCTTAGACCTGCTCGACTTGCTCGTCCGATACCCCGGCGACAACACTGTCCTGCTTTTTCTCCATGTTCTCGGAGCCGGTCTCGTCTGTGTGTCGCGTCAGTCGCTGGCCTGGGTGTTGCTTTCGCTGTTTTACGAGCTCTTTGGACATTTGCACGGCGCTTTTGCCCGGGGTGGTGAACAGGTAGTCGATCTCCTCGAGGGTTAGTTTGGCGGTTTCCGGGTAGCAGAAGTAAATTAGTGGGACGAAGGCGAAGTTCAGGCACATGAAGATGAGGTATGCTTTCCATTGCAGGCGGTTGATGATGATGGGGGTGATCATTACGACGAAGAAGTTCTTTTCATTTCGTGATTGTTAGTCGTGGTTGAAGGAGCGTGAGATTACTAGTAACTTACCCAGATCCAGTTCGACGAGATACCCACGGCGGTTCCTTTGGCGCGCGCATGGAGGGGTAAGATCTCGGGCACGTAGCACCAAGGGATGCAGTTAACCGATGCGCCAAAGATGAGCATGTACACGAAGAAGAAGGCAACAGCAGCTGACGAAGTTGCATGCTCGTTGGCGTGACCCTTGAAACTGAGCAGGATGGATACCATCATCATGCAGATGCCTAAGCCGAATGATCCCCAGATCATGGGAGCTCTGCGACCGACGCGATCCACGAAGAAGGTGGGGAATATACTTCCGACGACGAACATAATCTGAACGCAGCCGCCGAGAAGATTGGAGAGATTCTTGTCCAGGCCGACGTTGGTGTTGAGTACGGTGGGGATGTAGTATCTGGGTTTCATTAGCAAGGCTTTCAGAATTTCGTGAGGTGAGTTCTATGCCCAACATACACGACCATGTTGATACCACCCATCTGATTCATGAATTGCATACCGTATGCAAGAAGTCTGCGCGGTTGTTAGCAGATGATTCGCGACAGATAAGACGCGAGACTTACACTCTGTGGCCTGTGGAAACTTCATCCCGCTTGAAGACATTTCTGGTCTCGTCAGCTTGCATCAAGTTGCGATGTTGAAGGTGGGTGGGCACATACCTCCACTTGTACTCCCCGTATTTCGTCTCCACGGAAATAGCCTCCAGGATTTCTTCCTGCTCTGCCAGGATCTTCGGGTCGTCCTTCGGGCGCCCATACACATCACTTAAGATCTGCAGTGCTTCCTCGTTGCGACCTTCCTTGTAGCAGTACCTGGGTGATTCGGGCAGCCCGAACACCAGAACAATGACCACCTAGATCGATAGATAATCTGCATTAGCCAGAAACTCCAATAAGACAACATATAATATCTTACAAAAGCGAAAATCATCTGACACGCAATCGGCAATCTCCAAGCGATCTGACCACCAACATAGCTCATCCCATAGTCGAAGAAGTAGCTATTAGCCACAGTCAGTATAGCAACAAATGAAAATGACCACAAGTTGAAATGACTCGAAGGAAGAAAGGAATATACCTAATAACAATCCCCACCCCAACCAACAACGGCTCACTACACACCAATTTCCCGCGCTTACTCGCCTCACACAATTCCGCTTGATACATCGGCACCGTCGACGTCTCCACGCCCGTCCCGATGCCCGTCACAAATCGTCCGACCATAATATGGGGGACGGAGAACGCGGAGCATTGGAGAGTTGCTCCGATCTGTACCCATAGGTATATCTATATTAGCAAATCATATCACTGTTGTATAAAGAATGGGGTGACATACGATAACCCAAACCATAGCAAACCACATCGCCCTCCGTCGACCAAGCCAATCACCTAATAGGAAATTGACGATACAGCCGGCGAAACACCCCAGATTGTAGATGGAGACGATGATCCCCTCGAGACTGTCGTTGGGGTGGTTCATGGTGGCGAGGAAGTCGTCGTTTTCCACGATGCCGGAGAAGACGCCTTGGTCGTAGCCTGGAGAGTTATTTGTTAGTTTGTTGGGTGATTCGGGAGGTAGGTTGGAATGGGGATATACCGAAGAGAATGAATGCCATGCCACAGGCCGCCCATATTGCGGCTTGGAGGGCGAAGCCGGTGCCGAAGAGGTTGAATTTTGGCATTTTCTTTATCCCTTTTTCTAGTTTATTAAAGTCGCATGTAGGGATTTTTGATCTAAGTTCGATCTCTTGGATTCAATTCCCCAGTCGGAAATGGGTCGATGCATCACTATATATGTGCATTGTAGGTAGTAGTAGCCTTATGTGTGACATCGGACAAACCCCGTCCACCCCAGCCACGGCTCGAATTACTGAATCATGAAACAGTAGTAGAATCTCGGTAGTACCACCACCCCGAGATGGTCTGCAAGATCGTCACCCAGCCGGCTAAAGACAGAAAAGACACCCTCGTCATCGATCATGATGCTGATTCTTGGGCCAGTTACCCAAAAGGGAAGGTCGTGGCAACGATTACCCCGGATTGTTGAGGCGCTAGACCAAATTCGGATATGAGGGGGGAAATGATGGCCCCAGGTTGGCGACGAGATCGGATGCTGCCGTGCCGTCTTGGATGGCCCTTCTTTTTGTGGTGGTTTCTTGGGTTTGAGTTTAGGTTTGGGGTTGCCGAGGGTTGACAGTAGACGTCATTTGGGTGGTCTGTGGGTGTGGGTGATGAGTGTGCAACTGCGTTGGATAGGTAGTATGTGATTTATAGAGTGTATAGCAATGGTCATGAAATAACATGGAAAAATATACAGCTGCATTGGTCTAGATGTCTCTATCTCTAGTGAGTAGTATCGGTTGGAAGAGTATAGTATGCTTTCTTAAGGAATGTTAAGCCTTGGGGTATTGTATCTTTGTTTAAGTTGTAGACGGACTTGGTAAGTTGAGCCACCGTCAATATAGAAGGCTGGATAGCTGCACGTGCTCAAGGCTTGTTTCTTATATATTGAAAGTGTTTCAAGCTTTTTTCTTCCTCATGGCGTATATCTATTATGCTTATTGTGTATAAACCATTGCATTTGGGGAAATGTTTCTTTGGTGCACTCAATGGCAGAATCCATCATGGTTCAGTGCGAGTCAATTGACCTCAGCTGATACTCTCGAATGCAAACCGCTTATTCCGGAGCTCTTTATGTTTATTGAAGACGATGGATGCTTACTTATAGTATAATGGCGTACTTTTATTAAAGATGTCCAGTCACTTTCATCTCCATCTTCACGATGCTACCCCGCATCCCGCTAAACCCGTTTCGGACACCATGCGGAGCTGTGCTTCGGCTCTCGCTCTTTGCTTCTGCCGATTCCTTTCTTCAAGGTCTGATCACCACTTTGGCGACGCTCTCCAGGATCAGCGGAGGCCTTGTTGCTCAAACCACCCTTCATATTTGGCTGTGACTAACCCGATGAACACTGAGCCTCACAACAAGCATCAGACCGACATGTTGACACAAATATTCGCTCCAGTAAGTGAAAGCTCAACCTCCCTTCTGCTCTGTAAATAAGACTTGCTCAATGTTTTCAATATAGTATTGATAGTCTATGTTATTCCCTATAATCCAAATCCATCGGCATGGACGACACCACATTCGGTGAACCACCCCGGAAACGTGCGCGCACCACTTCTCTACAAGAGCAACCCGAGCCAGTACCTGCAGACAACAGTTCAGAATCGCCGGCATGGGATCAACTGCAAAGCCCTTACCACCTAGCAGACTACTACACTGATCAAAACAACTCTCCGACATTGCCTATTAGCAGTGACCCTTTTCAGTCACCAGCAGCTAGCTGGACCCAGGATGGCTTCTCGCAGGATCCCGGTTACCTAGCCTCACAGGAAGAGCTGCGATGCATCCTCTTTTCTCTCGCGAACTCAACTGCTCCAACCCGCGTATCCAGCCCAGATATTGTGGGAAGGTTTGAACTAGCCGAACAATCACCACGCTCGAAAAAATACCAGCCAGAACGAAGAGGGGAACTCTTGCAGTCTTCTCTGTCGAGTAGGAGGCGAATTGAATATTTGAAAAACTACGTGGCAGAAGTAGCGCCGTGGGTATGTGCTGTGGACGACGACTTCAATCGATGCATAACTAAAGAAGAAATAGCTGGACATGTTCGACTCTCAGTGCACCTTTCGTCAACAAGTTCCCGTGCTGGCTCGCTCCTTTCCCGCTCTCTCATACGCCATGCTTGCTATTTCTGCTCGTCAGATCGAACGCAAGAATGGAGTTCGAAATTGGTTTGACAGCCTCGAATTGTACCAAGAAGCTATCAGACGACTGAGCCCGCTTCTTCAACTACGTGACCCGAAAATTGTAGCGGCATGTGTGCTTCTCTGTTGCTTGGAAATGATGTCTGCACGTGCCCAGGATTGGCGTCGCCATCTTGAAGGCTGTGCCGCGTTGTTTGATGCATTTGGAATTCACGGCTTTAGCCAGGGCATTCTACAGGCGGTTTTCTGGTGCTATGCTAGAATGGGTGAGTCTAGAGCTGCATTATATCCCTTTCATCCAAACATTCTACTTTGTTACTGTACATTTCAATCTTTTCTGACTGGAGCAGATCTGTGCGGTGCGCTGATCTCAGATGGTACACAGACCACACTGCTACATCCCTCTAAATGGCTTCCTGAAGGCTACCAGACAGAGGATGCACACCAATTGTTCCAGAGTGTCAAGTCACCAGATATGCATGCAAATTATGCGGTGTATTTGTGCGTCAAAGCGACTGAACTGGTGTCCGATCGTACAAAGTATGTGGAACTAGGTGAAGATAATGGGTGTACTCCGGAGAGGTTCCGCACACGATGGCTCAGCCTCTGGAATGACCTACAATGCTGGTTCTCCGAGCGTCCTAGCGAGCTTCTTCCGGTGCAGACAGTCAATCGCAAGCCTTTCCCTCATATCCTGTTCGTCCACTGGGCTGCTATCTCGTCAAACCAACTGTACCATACTGCATGCATACTGTTGCTGAAGATGATGCCCAAGGATATTCGGCTCCCACGGTCGCAAACTTTGTTTCCTCTATGGCATGCTCGACGAATCTGTGGCATTTCCTTGGCAAACCCACACCAAGGGTGCTTGAACAACTCCATCCAGCCATTGTGGATTGCCGGACAGCTTTTCAGCCATGTTTCGGAGCATGAGGAGATTATCAGGTTGATCCAGAGCATCGAGGCTGAAACTGGCTGGGGAACATGTTGGCGGATTCGGGATCTGGAGGTTGCCTGGGGTTGTTCTGGAATGAGATGAACACGACCCTTCATGCTAGAAACCATCAAGGAATGACCAATCCTCTCGGAGTTGCGTCAAATATCCATCCAAGTTCCATCCGGTGATATTACGCACCCGCTCAAAGCCTTCCAAGATCTCCTGTTGCTGCGATTCATGTGTCATTCTTCTGGCAGCCACTAGGAATGAAGCTATCAGGCAAGGATCCCAGGATTCCCGGCGGTCATTATTCAGTGCGATGCCACAGATACGCTGCGAATGCCACAGTGGCGACAAAGTTATTGACTGCAAGCCCAAAAGTGCTGTGCGTGGCTTACACTGCAGCAAAAGTAGCATGGCAGTATGGTACAACTGATTGCAGAAGGCACCCGTCCCGTTTGCGAATAGCAGCAGCGGAAATCCACTTTCGGCCTGGGCAAGTTGATCATCAACACCCAAATCTACCATAGGTTGGAATTCGTGTGGCCGCAGATGGTACCATTGCTCAATTGCATCAAAAACATCTAGCCAGCTATCAGGTAGCTGTTGTGGAGCTGCAAACTGGCCGGGGATGGTCTCCGGGTGATATATCATCAGAGCTTTCCCACACAGCCAGAGAAGGACATGGGCATACGCTCGGGTTCTTTCCCGGACTTCTTCTATCTTCGACAGGACCAGTAAGCTAGGTAACGGGAACATCGGAAGTTGTGTTTCAATTGGTCTGTCGTTTGCGAGCGCTGCACTCAAGTCTGGTTTGGTCAGAACGGCACATAGATACGTGGAAGTTCTGGGACGAACCTAAGCGGAAGAACATCCAGTAGATAGATGACGCAATACCCGGATCCAGCGCTTGATGAGCCAATAGCTCGAGATTCCGTGTCCTGAGTTTCTGCATGTTCTTCCAAGTCTGAGCGATATCGGTGACAAGCCATCTCGTCTCTTCTAGCACGGCCGCCAAAGCATTCTCAGCAGTTAAAGTGAAGCTTTCTGACCACAGCGGACGAGTCCACTGATCTATACGGCTAAGATACGACGTTTGCTGGTTCCCCATATTCTTATGGATAACGCAAGCATCGGAAAGTCCCAGCAGAGCTGTCATGAGCGGCTCCGAGCTGAGTGTCATCTGGACAGCAGTGATACCGAATGGTTGAGTGAGATCGCAGATATCGAGCTGAAAGAGCCCGTCAGCCATAAACCTCATCAGATGGTGCGGATACCTACCCATGGTGCTACATGGTACCGGTAGTGACATAACAGCTTCAGCTTTGCCGTATCTGTTGTAGGATTGGCACTTATGCTTGAAGGCAGCCTCTCAGAAGACCCCACAAAGCTAGGAGCATGCTTCATCACCGCAGGTGTACTAGCCACTAGCTCTGATGAGACAAAATCAGAACCAGTCATTCCATACCCTTTGTCCTGAGCAGCCCTATGATTATTGACACCATCGCTTGTTCCCAAAGCAAGAAGCCCATGTACAGCGGTTCTGTCCCTATCGCTGAATGCCTTATTGGCAATCAACGAAGAGTGCATAGCAGGAGAGCCATGCAGGCCATCATCACCAATATCGACCTCAGAACCAATTCTAGATGGAGCCAACACAGTCTCATCTCCCGAGGCCCTCACACCGTCGCTCATACTATCCTCATCTACAACATCATCCCCACCCACCGTAGGATCCTCATTCACAAACTGAAATAGCCCCTTGTCAGCGAAAATAGACCCGGAAGCAAAAGTTTATCTCACGAACCTTAACCCACCTCCACCTCCCCTTCCTCTGCCGCTCTTCTCTCCGCACAACCCTCTCTTCTGTCTCAATCTTCTTCATATTCGTACTCGTACACAGCTCCCCCTCCGCAACGGTGAAGGTATTCTTCGGTAAAAACGTCACCTGGACACCATAGCGACAAACCAGGTTCTTCTCGATGCAATTCCGACACCGGGGCTTAGTCTCGTCGCCTATACCAATTAGCTTATCAGCCAAATTCCCAACAATCGATATGAGAAGGTGTCATAAACCTACACTTCCTCCTCCTAGTCCTACACCGCAAACACCCCGTCCGACACCGGGTAAACTTCGTAGCAGGTCTTTCATCATGAGTTCGTTTTCCTGCTAATACCCCCTTTTCACTGTCGTCAATAGACGAAGGGGAAATAGATGTATCAGCCATCACCCATCACCAAACACCATAACACAACATAACCACAAATAGAACAACGATAATAAGATTGAGTGGAAGAGATAAGATAAGACCCTCAAGCTGTCCACAAGAAGAAGACAGGAACTAGAACCTAAGTAGAGACAGAAACAGAAAATAGCAATGATAATGAAGGTCGACCAGGTCAGTCCGCCCGCATCCGGGAACAGGAACCGCAAAAGCGCGGGGTAAAATCTTCATTGGCAGCGCGTAGAGTTGCCTATTTCGGGTTGGGTGGGGGGTTTCCTGTTTAGTGTTTACCCCGGATTTTCTTGGCCTGGGGGGAAATTAAGGTTGGGCATGTGTCGGGTGTCAGGGGTCTGAGTGTCAAGTTAAATGGACTGTAGGGAATTGCTGGTTACTCTTGTTATCTATTAGATTCTACGGAGTCATTTGTATTGCAATAGCGGTTTTCAAGTAAAAAAAAAAATATTAATGTAACGGCCCCATCTCGAATGGAATACAATTTCAGTCTAAAGTCTTGTCTCGTCTTGAGAATCTAAATACACAGAAAGAAAAATATTGCCTCTAACTCTGGCTGAATGTAGTGTAAAAACTGTGGACACTCTCAAATATAATGCAAACGAAATGGTCTTCTCTTTGAATGTGCTTGTAGGTAGTGCTCTCAGCTGTATTTCTTGGTGATGTGTACGAGGAGAGCGCCCTCTGTTGGTGCTCCAGTACTGTCATTCAGGTGAATGATCCGATAGCCCTCTTGGAGTCGATTTAGTCGAATGCATGCCCATGCGGCCAGCGCGTTGTGCATCCATTCGTTGTCTTTGATTTTGAATCTATTTGCGGTTAGAAAGTACACATACACCTAGGATGGTTATGAAAAGTGACTCACCGGACAAATGTCAGTTCATCGAGGAAGCCCGAGACGGTCGCAAACTCCATCTTCTGACTGCCAAAATCGGGATTCACGCCGGTAACGCTCTTCGTGCAATGTTTGTAACCGGTCTTTTCGGATTCGGTGTCGTCTTCAGATGCGGCGAAGCTGTCATCTGGCGTCTCCACGTGCAGGAGACAAGTCACGAAGGGGTAGAATTTGTTTTCGTTGGTGTGACCGGCGGGCAGTGGGATGTTTTGGCCAGCCAGGAACTCAATAGTCAGATCCAGTCGGCGAGGTTCGATGATTCCAGGCTGTGCATCGGAGCCGCGATATCCTGGAGGCTTAAGCACCCAACCTTGCTCCCCTGCGAACATTCCTGAATTGAGCATCATCGCTTTGTCAAAGTTTTGCCAGTTCAGAGCAACCATCTGGGCACCACGCCGCCAGAAGAAAGTCGGGTCCATGTTGGAGGAGTCGACTCGCAAGCCATTGGGATAGACGCGCATGAAGAAGTGCCGGTTGTGCTCAAACAACGCGTCGCCGTCGGTGGCATGTGCTTCTCGAACGGCTTTCTCGGACAATGAGAACACATGGCTGGGAACCTTAGCCTCTGTTGTATGTCAGTCAGTGATGCAGTACATTACTGGTTGATATGTATCAGGGTGAACTACAACATACCTGGCTGTGCGAAATTGTTAAAGTGGAATCCCTTGGTGAATACGGCCAGTTTACTGAGCGCCTGCAGGATCTTGGAGGGCTTGTGTGGAGCTGCAGTGGGGGACTCCGGAGTCTCGGGAGTCTTGGAAGCCTCATTCAGACTCGTGGGACTTTTCTGTTGCTTCAAGGCCTCCATGTGCTGGGTATAAACTGCCTTCTCCTTTGCTTCACGGTCTCCACCTTCGTCTACAGATTCGACGTGCTTCACCTTAATCAGGATCTTCCTCTTCAGATCCTTAAGAGGTGGCGGCGGGACCGTGCCAGCTTCGAGTTCAGGCGTCACCTCGACCAACATCCCCTTCCATGCTTCTTCCATGATCTCGACCATTGTCTGCTGCTGTTCCAGGCAGGCATGTACTTCCAAACTAACAATTACTGGAAGGTCGCTTGCAACAAATGCGCTGTCCCGGATCGCATAGCAGACTTCGCGAAAGCTTGTCTCCCTAGTAAGCGTGTGACCATGCAACACTCGTGGCTCTGGTTTACCAGGAACCGGGATCGCGCTACCAGACGCCTTGCTTTCGCCAGAGCTTCCGCTGCTCGTGGATGGCTTGTGATGCCCCAGGAAGCCTTCCAGTTTGCCAACCTCCTGGGAAAGGGCGCGCAGATGACGGTGGTTCTCAGTCATCTTCTTCAACTTTTCCCTCTTAGATCCGCGACGAGGTTTACAGGAACTGATCTTCTCATCGTCGGAGCTCGGGTTGCTGCCACTAGTGGCACTGCTATCGCCAGTTTCTTGGGAGCTTTCACCCTCTGCTTTTCCATCCCAAACATCAATCTCGACAGATCTGCACCCACTAAGTAGGACCTGAGAAGATCAGCCGTTGCTATCACAAATCATCGGGATCTAGAAGAGTCATCGATGGGAGAGTTGGGCACAACATGAGACCTTATTGATCTTGTTCCAGCATCTTCTGCTCTCAACGCATTCAAATTACGATGAAGAACCAGTCATACTGCACCCCACCCTTCAACAGCGAAGATAATTCCACTAGTGGATGTTGATGTCGGAAAGAACATACATTTGTATAAGCACTTGCTTTCGATTCACTGTATAGCTGGTTTCCAGTCAAGTACGTGTTGTGACTAGTGGAGATGAAATAGTCCGTAATGGGCGCCGAGAGGTCCATCTGGGTAGCAGCTCTCATTGCAGAGGCCTCTGGACTTGCCAAGTACTCGTAGAAGGCAGCCAGGGTCGCTAGTGGAGCTGGGTGCTCCTTGGTGGTTGACCCCTGGCCCGTTGGTTCACGCTGGACATCAGTCAAGAAGTTAGGCTGGTTCATAGACGTCAACGAGCTGTAGATCTTGTCTATGTAGTTGAGCATGGATGGCGCAAAGGGAAGTGTGATCTTCTGCGTGGACAGGGAAGAGTCCATGGTGATGCGACTGGTCTGGGCAGTGAGTTCGTCCATGGTTCCGACAATAGCAAGGTATGTGCTTCACAGAACAAAACCGAGTGATAGGATAGTTTATTGGGATAGAGAAATGTGTCGACTGGCCAAGTTACACAATGGTGGGGGATAATAGTTATGGAGGGGCCTGATGATCGACACCGGCAGTGACACGGGTTCAGGGGGGATCGGAGAACAATTCCAGCTGTCCTCAGGATGGGTAGATGTTGGGCACCGCCGGGAATAAGCGGGAAGTGAGGCTAATGATGAAAGGTAATCAAAGGGGTGGGATTCTCTATAAGTAGTGGCGATGAGGTTAACGATAATGAAGTGGAAAGAAAGAAAGATGGAGAAGGTAGAAGAGAGGTGTTGTTTCGTTGTTCGCTGAGTTTTAACCAGCTCCACATCCGCGTGGACACTTGGACGGGCTCGTTGGCGGTGACTGTATCATCTGCAACACTTCATAGGCTGCTGCTGAGCTGGTGGAGGAGAGTGGGAGGCTGAGATGGATCCTGGCCTATACCGATTCAGGGGTTCCCAGGCATACATACTATCACGTAGTCCCCAGGCAGTGATGAGTTGCTGGGAAGATGAGTGCGTGATTCCAATTCCACTGCGGGGCAGGCCTTGTCAATGAGGAATGAACTCCAGTGCAAAACACGAGATCGCTTTCTTCTTGCCTTTAGCTGTGGACATCATCTCTGGGGTAAGCCCAGCGCCAAGTTCAAAGCTGGGCAGCGATGAAAGCGAAGCTGCGTCACGCCGGAAGAACAGAACAAAGCCATTCATCATTCCTTCAACAATCCTTGGATCGGTGATGTCATCAATATCCTGCCTCAGGTACCAGAGCTTACTATTTCCGTTCGGGACCAGATAATTTTTCTTTCTACTTCAACATTTTGTCCCAGACATACAACATGATGAGGCAGAAGATCGATTAAGCTTGTCCCCTGAATGAGATCGGATCTAACCAACGGGTGCATCTTGAGATCTCCACAGTCCATAAGGCTGAGATCGAAATTTCCCCCACCCCGCTTCCGGTTAAGCTGCAAAAAAAAAATACATGCGACCGTGGTCCGCATATGCCACAACTAGGTGCCGAGGAATCAGAGATTCACCACCCATATACTATCGCATCCACAATGTTACCTTCACAGCATGATTGCTAACATCTGATCTACTCATTACACGCTACTCCCGTTGGTCGCTATGCTAACGGGCAGTGAGTTCCCGGGGCTCTCTAGCTGGCAACCGCCTACGATTTTGATGTCAAAGTGCTAGCCAGTAGATCGAAAACAATAGATCGCATATAACTGGATAGCAGACGGAAGGATATGTCCCAACAATTTACACCTCGGATTAGTGCTCGAGCCTAGCGACAAATAGACTGATTCTCTGCTCGCTTTCGATGGCTTCTCGCACAAGCTCGCTCTACTGCGCCGAATCGTCATTGGGAAGACATGCTTCGGAAATTGGGGACAGTAGCTGTTCTTATCTTACTTGGGGTCAGGTATGGAGGCATATGAGCCGAGGAATCCGTACGCGGCTTTGTTGACAGGCTGCTTGGACTGGTCGCAGTCTGGACATCCAAGTTGATATCGAATGGCAATATCCAAGCTTAAGGTCTAAAGGTAAGTCTCAAGTGTATGTCGAAAGTAAAGTCCATTCAGCGCCTGATCTGGTGAATCAATATGAGTACAAGTCGCATAGAATACATTGAACATATCCCACAAAAGCATTTCTACACTCGTCAGCCACCACCACTGTACACAGCCAACATGTTGCAACCCCATCCAGCAAAAACCTCCCCCCAAGCGAATCGCAAATTGCTGCATAGAATTTAGAGACCGCGCAAGAAGTTGTCCTCCCGGATACCCTTTCTCCGCGCCTCTCTGGCACTCCGTCTAATTTCGGTACGCTTGTCGAGACTCTCGGCAGCGGCTTCGAGCACATCCGCGGGGATAGCATCGGCGTTGTATGCAGCTGGGGTAATATCGGTAGCGTGATGGTGGATGGGGATCTGGGGAGGCAGGGTCGCGGCACGGGCGGCCATCTTCTTCTCGTAGCGCTTGCGCTGCTTCTTGTTCAAGGCTATAGGATAACAAAATTAGCGGACCATCACACGGAAACAACACTACTCTATCAATGACGGGCTCCATACTGCTCGGGTCAACACCGCCCGTTGCGGTCTTGTTCTTCTTGGAGTCGTCCAACAACGACCACAGCCATTCGGGGTATTCCGCATCCTCCAAGGCCACAACGTCGGGCTTGTTCTTGAAGTAGTTCAGTCCGTTCATCTTCTGGCCAGCAGCGCAAGAGCTCGGGGGACGTTCCACAGCAGCCTTCTTGGGCTTCTCGGGGTTGACATCAGCGTGAACACCCTCCGGGGTGCTCAACGGTTGGGACACGCCAGGGGTGGCGGACGACACGGCCGACGGGATCGTGATATCAGCACCGGCAGGCTGACGAGGGGTGGGCGGAGGGGGAGTAGCCGATACGGTAGGCTTTCCATCACTGTAGTTGCGGAATTGGCTTCGCTGAATGGGAAACTGGCGTGCGCGTGACGGGATAGACAGCGTAACGGTCTGGGGCTGCTGTAGCCGGGACAAAATACCGGTGCGGCACCGTTGGCAGATCATTGTGGCGTGGCTTGTGTTGTCTCGTGAAACAAGGGGTATAATCGAAATAAATTGAAATGACTGCCGCGGTCAAGTCCCAGCCAGCTTTTGAATCAGCGTAGTGCTGGAGATTAAAGTATGATGGCCGACGCGGAGCAGTTGTCGAGAAAACTGCGGCGGGAATTTGATGCCAAGCCGGAGGTATGGTCACGTGCTTATATTTGCTGAAAGGTGCATTCCCATGTTAGCCATGCTTCTACTGTCTCCTCTACCCTGTCTTTCCTCTCAAGATAACTAGAAAATACAATTCTGGGAAATATGGTCAATATGAAATTGGACAAGCGGACTTTTGAAGTCTAAGGTGTCTCAGATGCCACTGCGCGTGCTCCGGTCATGAGTTAAGCGTCACGTGATCCAAAGGATATGCTGAGAGAATCACAACAAGAATGTCTTCGAACTTCCACTTTAGGAGATTATCTGACCGCAAGTAAAGATCGCATGGCTTATTTGATTTCTACTTTTGGATAAATGGAGCGCCTTATAGTCCAAGTACGCCTTAACACCTTGTTCGCATGATAATGCTAATATTACAAGAAAAATCAAGCATCATGTGGCTTCGAGGTGTGCCAAAGGCGTGTACGACGGTCCATAAAGAAGTTGTGTGTGACCATTTATCTGATGGACAAAATAATATTAGCTTCGTTTTGGACTATCGCAAAGACGTTCGATCATGATTCCATCTATTGTACCTGTTCATGAAGGTCTTTATCACGTGATATTGATTACAAGAGATTTCGGCCTGAGGCAACAAACATCAATGTGAATAGTATACAATTACCTGTTTGGGAAAAAAGCTCGTCTGGTTATAACCTTAGTACTCCCCCGGAGCTCTTGGGGAAGTTCTGTCTTGCGCCATTATTTGACAGCAAATTGAAAACTTTGGGGTCTTATGCTTAAGTTTATTGACATGATGCAATTCACGCGCAACTTTTGGTACGGCAGTATCAATACCAGTATATATCTTCAAGTTGACTTCCAATAGCGCTCGACATCTTCATACCTTTGATATCTGATCTGGGTTCTCTAGCCTCATTGTTGAATCAGAAGCTACTATTACGAATTATTATTCGTTGTTCCCTATCTGATCATGAAGGTCTCAAATTGATTGAAGATATCAAGTTCATGCTTGCTTCGGCATGATGAATATATATACCAAGTAGTAACCACTCGGCTAGCAGATACTCAACAAATTAGCACCGAGTTGTAGTTCATGACAGGATGTTCGGCCGTATGTAAAATAGCATCTCACAAGAAACAAATCTTCATGCATGTATACAGGACTGACGCAGTATGTCCTACTTTATTACGTACCTCATTCCCTATTTTCAGTCGGATCTCATATCATAGCAATACCGAGTCAACAGCTTTTCGTGAATGATCAAGCCTATCAAAGCCTGTTGTAAACCTTAGTTTGGCAATCAGACTACATGTTGTAGCAAAACGGTAAACCCTGCCCTATACCGGATCATCAGATATAATTCAATGTTGGCGCCATTCCCGCTGCCTACCCCGTAGGCAGAAGTATACCCCGGTCACTCGAGATGCAAAGGGACCCAGGCTCACAGAGCACTGCAGTAGTAGGTACATCATCGGTTTGTCTTCGAAAGCTTGTGCTATTCCACAAGTTCGCGCATGCAGACTGCCCTTCAAACAGTGGCGCTGGATCAACGTCTGTGCACACATCAAACAGAGCATGCTACTGGTAGCTGCAGACTCGACTAAGGCAAGCTGCGCAATCACTCAATCATCCAGATATCGCTGTCTGACAGGGTGTTCGCGACTTGTTTGAACCTCTCATCAGCGCTAGTTGTCTCCTGTCTCTCTGCACGTATGACCCTCCATGCGGAATATTTAGCTCCTCAGCACCGGCGACTTTTGGGTTCGCTATTGCATATGCTTTTTCGTCCCCAATTCTATTCAGATAAATGATCTATTGGTAGACAAAGAAATGAATCACTGATGAGTCGCAGAGGGGTAAGATGGTCAGCGTGACTAAGCTTCCCCCGGGACGCCTTCTTGTTTGATCTGTCTTTCGACACTCCCCCGCCTCTTACCTCTCGGATCTCATACTAGAGGACTCTTGGGCTCAGCTACATCCTGCGTATCTTGGATAGTGCCATCTTTTCTATGTTTCGAGTAAAGCTCATCTATGCTGCAAGTCTCCTGAAACCCGTTCTTACGGATGACAGTTTTCGATCAACCTATGCTGGGTGAGGCTATCTGAATCGCAACAATTGAGATGCTTCCACTGAATTGACTAACATGAGTGATTTGCTAGTTTGAATTACAAAAACAGTTAATGGCTTCAGAATGGGTTAATAATGAGATTGTACAATGACACATACACTATGCATTAAGGGGATGGACATAAGTGGGGGACCCGACTCTATCATGCAAAAATCACAGGGTACTATGAACCTGCCGAGATTCCAAAGTGCAACGAGAGCGAAATGGATATAAGAGAAAGAAAATTGAAGTCAGGACTGGAGCCTGATTTTGGGCTCCTCTGTAGAGAGGAAGAGACACAGGAAGAAGATATAATCACGCCAAGCGCCAATGATGAACAGGAAACAAGCATACGGCCTAAGAGGACAGACCGCTAACATTGAGGAAATTGCATAGGCTCACGCAAGCATCCTTCAGGGACTTTTCGGTCTTCCACTCAAGCTCGTCCTGCGACCTTGTGGCCACAGCGACACAGGAGCCAACATCGCCAGCGCGGCGACCAGCAGCCTTTCTCGGGATGGGCTTGGAAGACACTGCTTCCATTGTGTTGACCACTTCCATCACAGAGTGGCCCCGGCCAGTTCCCAGGTTGAAGGTCCGGAAGTTCTCAACCAGCTTTCCACCGTTGGCAGCGTTGAGTGCAGCAATGTGTCCCCTAGCAAGATCGGTGACATGGATGAAGTCGCGAACTGCAGTGCCATCTTCGGTGTCCCAGTCGGTGCCAAACATTTGCAGCTCCTTATACTGTCCGGTCATAACCTTTACGACAACCGGGAGAAGGTTCGTGGGCGTCTGCCTGGGATCCTCTCCCAGGAGCCCAGATTCGTCACATCCTATAGGGTTGAAATAGCGTAGAGCTACAATGGTCCATTCTGGATCAGAGGCCGCAAGGTCCGCTAATATCGCTTCACAGATCCATTTGGTGCGCCCATACGGGTTCGTAATACCCGTGCAACCAGGTCTGACGGTCTGCTCCTGACCGTCTTGATCGCTGTAGACCTCTTCTTTATGAACACAGAGTTCTTCCTTCAAGGGAAGACCCGATGTTGCCAAGGTTCCGTACACCGTTGCGGAGGAGGAGAAGATGAAAGTTTTGATGCCAAATTCTCCCAAAGTTGTGGCAAAGTCGATGAGGCCACTGACATTGTTCGCGTAATACTTCAAAGGATTCTTAATACTCTCTTCAACAGCCTTATAAGCGGCAAAGTGAATGACGCCACCAATCCTAGACTTGGGAGTACCCCATCTGGATTGGATCTGATACTGCTCAAGAAGGCTCCTCAGAGCAGCAACATCCCGGAAATCATGGGCGTGGAGCTGCAACGACGGCATGCACGTCCCCTGCTCGTCATGGTACTTTGCCGCCAGTTGCCTGATACGGTCAAAGACACTCTGGAAAGAGTTGCTGAGATTGTCGATCACAATTACATTATAGCCGGCCTTGAGTAGCTCCAATGTTGTGTGACTGCCGATGAACCCGAGACCCCCTGTGACGAGGATGTACTGATCGAGGGGAAAGTTGCGCAGCAACTCTTCCAGGTTGCCATCAAACAACACGGAAGATTGCGTCGCCGGTGTGTCCACACAACCAGGGGAGCAAGGCTCCACAGGAGTGCTTGCATCGGACTGTCGAGGGCTCTCCATAACTGATAGGGTCGAAGGATGAGGCACCGTTGGGGGGCGATGCGAACAAGAAACACTTGGACAAACAAGAACAAGGAAACGAAAGAAAGATAATATTCTCCCACGAGAATTTAACGACCGCAGGTGACTCGACTTTGAACGGGATACCCAAAGAAAGGAGTTTCCCAAATCTTATATTTTTCCTCAAAACGAGCAACAGGCCCTCCCACTTGCGCGCCGATGTAACCGCTGTCTCTGGCCCGCTAGGTCAGGCGAAGATATCGTGATCCGTGACTTGCTTATTTACAACGAATCATAACCAGAATAAGCGAATGGATGCAGTAAAATGCAAAACCGGCGACAAAAAGGAATATATGGAAGGCTGGCTTTTGAAAAAAAGACAAAAAAGGCACAGGGAAAAGGAAAGAATGGAAAAAGAAACGAGCGAAACTAGAAGGAGAAAAAGCAAATATAAAGAGAGTGGACGATGTTGTCAGCGGTTGCTGCTTCGGTATGAGAACGGGGCCTAGAAGGCTTACTGGGTCATCGAAAACGGATTTCGCCTCCGCTGGGGGGGAGGCATCGAACGAACTCTGGTCGCCTCCACTGGAGCTGCAGGATGTACAATTGGTACGAGAAGGCGCTCTCGACCAGGGAAAAGAGAAATTGTTCTCTTCAGCTAATCCGAGACCTGATGCATGGTCGAAACCCTGCCCCGCTCTATTTTGGGCGCGCCGCATCCATACTCTTACTTTCGATTTTTTTCAATTTTCCACTGCCCTCCTTACAATTGTTTAACTTCGCATTATCCAACAGCGAACAGGCTTGGAAACGCTGATGACTACTTAATTGTTAGTCTCCCGGCCGACTCTGGTCCAAATCCGCTATGGCCAAAGGGAGCCCACTTGCTAGCTCGTTTCGACCCCCCCGAATTTTGGCGCGCACGGTTTCGAATTACATCGTTAGCTTCTCAAAGCCAGCAGAATGGGGCAAGGGGAACACGTGAGAGACCGGCGCTGCCTGCAAAGCCGGCGCTCGCGACTCATTCTGGCAATCCTTGTATTCATTGCCCTTCTCGCCGTCGTCATACCACCAGCAGTGGTGTTGACCCTACACAAATTCACCATGGGCCCCAAAGCGTCAGTTTTCGTACCGCTCTACGTCTACCCTGCACCGGGAGCATGGGATCCCTTAGAGAAGGTGTAGGTGCTACTTTTCCTTTTGTTGTCCTCTTCCCCATATCTCAACAAGCCCTCGCCAAATGTTAAACCCCCTCCCCCTTCCCCTTCCCCCCGCCAACCACATTGTACTCCCAGTCCATGCCCACGCTATCTGTCAGCCACCGGATGTCCCGCGGCACGATACAAGTAACCCTGATGTACGAAGGACGCAGCTGAACGCCACAGGATCTCTTCTCATCCCGACGTCAACTTCACCGTCGTGGTCAATCCTGGTAGTGGTCCAGGGCCCAACGCCTTGCCCGATGGCAATTACACACGAGAGATACCCAAGCTGGCGTCTTATGGCAATGTACGCCTCCTGGGCTATGTTGCTACCACGTACGCGCAGCGCAATTTCTCGTTGGTGCGGCGGGACATTGAGACCTATGCGGCGTGGCCGACCAACAGTTCGAACCCCAATCTAGCGGTTCGGGGTATATTTTTCGACGAAACCCCCCAGCAATACGAAAACAATACCTTGGCCTACCTCCAAGATCTGACTGCTGTCGTGAAGACGACCGCCGGCCTGGGTCCGGACCATTATGTACGTGCAGAAGTCTCTCCCGTATTTTCATTATTTCATTACTAGGGGTAACGCCGGGTAATTTACACGATTACCAAATTTCGGCAGCTGGCATTTCCGCCCACTGGATCATTGCCTTTTGCTGCCCCCTCAATGCATGGTCCTTTTTTACTTTTTTTGGAGCTCATGTTCTCTGGCGCCTGTTCCTGCCGACCATTCTAACTCAGAGCTGTCGTTTGGATCGTCCGGATAGATCTGGATGGACGCCCCCCATTGGCCAGAGTTTTCCATGCTAACGAGACTGCCCCAACCAGGTCGTCCACAATCCCGGCACGATTCCTGATGCCCGCTACTTGCCGACGGCTGATTCGACTGTGGTCTTCGAGGCAACCTACGAGACGTTCTTGGAGCGTCAAGGGGCTAAGCTGTTTAAGGAGATCCCGAATAGTACTCGCAGCCAGCTGTGCGCCGTGGTCCACTCGGTGCCGGACAGCGTGGAAGGGCACAAATTCCGAGACCTGGTGAAGCAAGTGCGCAAGGTCGCAGATGAGATTTTCATCACTCATCTGGATACAGATTATTATGCGAGCTTTGGAAGCCAATGGGAGGAATTTGTGGAACTGATGGCTCGATCATGAGGTGGCAGATGCCTGGTGCATATTATTTCTTGGTATATACAGTATTTATGACGTATACGATAAAAGATCTGATTATTGAAGTGAAATGGACGAGAGGACTTTTTCCTCCAACTCGAATCCAATGGTTGCAGACGATGACACCAGTGTAACTGAATTCGGGATCTATTGCGCCAATTCCAAGGCATTTCTCCAGAGGTTTAGCTCAGGCAGAAACAAAGAAGCTAACTAACTAACTAGCTCCGAGACTTCCAAACCCAGTGGTAGACTATCTTCTTTACCATCTTCCAAGGAAGGATACATCCATTTCCCCCTCTTCAAACAAGGTACATGGTTAGTTTCCTTTACAACACATCCATAGTGGGGCCATTACCCACCCGTAAATTTCATTCTCCGCGGTCCCCGATCCGATTCAGAGCCACTACCGAATTCCAGCCCCACTGACCAAACCAGTCCAGAAAAGTCTGCCATTGCCCACTTTGTATCATGGTCAAACAGGGCTAACCACGAGTCAGAGATAAGTGGATGAGGATGATCTCATCGGTTAGATCATTAGCCTTTTTCTTTTTTCTTTTTTTTTTTTTTTTTTCTCAATTCATTCTTTTTGTCTTTCTGGTTTGGATGAGGTAGGGATTGATAGTTGAATGAGATGTGGTAAGTAGGTACAATGCATGGTGCATGCTGCATAAAGATGTGTAATTAGGTACATAGTTAGATAGGTAAGGTTCATGGAAGACCGAGAATTCCGAATCTTAGGATCATTAGGTAATTACTATGCCACTCGTGTGTGATCGTGATAAAATTGATTAGGTGCTTCTTCTATACGAAGAGTGGCATGAGATGATATGAGAAGTTTTCTACGTGCGCACAGTAAGAAAAAGAAATACTAAGGAAGCAACAGATGATCAGACCTCCGGGCTAACTTGCTGCATGTCTTGGATCATCTACTAATAGGAATTGATCTCTCCTCGAGGCAAGTGGCATGGCATGGCATGGCATGGTAGGGCTTGGAGGACCCTGCCTACCGACATCCTTCCTTCGTATTCGGTAGATAGCTACGGGGTATATTATTACCTATCATTTGAGAGTTACCTAGTTGGTTAAGATGGATGCTAGTGTTGGTATGTGATTAGTAGCAGGAAGAAGAAATAAGAATGGATGGATGGATGGATGTATGCATTGATTGAGTTTTTCCGAGACCTGCATCTCACTCACTAACAGACATCTGATCCATCCAGCTGTCGGGACTTCGGATTCCGTAGGATGTTGTGAGTATGCATGTCCCGCTTCTAGTTGGTGTCTAGTAATAGTAGTGATGTTTCACGTAAACATACAACATGGTAAAAATAACTTCATGCTGTCACACCGTCTTCTAAGTAAGGTATGTTATGTATGTATGTATGTTGTCGGATTACTCCGTTCCCATCATCATTATCTTTGTTTCAATGGATAAAAGAGATATGTTTACTATGTATGTATGTATGTGGACGCCATGGGAGCACCGCATAATAACATACATATACATATCAAGTGCCCTGCATATTGTGGCTGAATCTCCTCGCGCTGGGAGGGGCCAGAAATGTTCCGTTCGCGGGTCTTGGAAAACTGCACCCCCGTCCCCCCTGGCCCGCCGTCCCCCTGCCCCCTTGTCAGACATACATGTTATGTTTAGGTTATTTTTGGATCGATCGGTTGGGCTTGACGGGAGGGGGAGGTTGGGTAGGAGTTGGATTTTTGATTACTACATGTGTAGATTAATTGTATGATATGGTGACTGATGAGATGAGATGAATGCGATGGGTTGAGTGCATTGGTACTGTAGGTATGTATTACTTGGCACGATTGCCACTGGCTCATTACACAGATACTATCTACTACTACCACTACTTACTGGTTAATACGTGATCTGGTAGGATGACTCTCGTTACATCGCATCCGGAGTTAAGTTTCCTTCCCATTAATAGCAACTCTCTACTTCCTACATAGACTGTCGCACTTCCGCATAAGTCATCATCCTCTATTTCTTTGTATAGTTATGGCCCATGGAAAATCAGCTCCCACGTTTCATCCCCTCTAATTAAACCCTAAACAACTAGACGTAAAGCAATGTCAACATGACAGTAATAAAGAGTGATCTCGGCTAAGCTCGACGATCGTCTGTCAGCCATGTCGATCGATGAGCATTGAGTTTTAGTGGGGTTACTAAACCCTCACTAACACCCTAGTCCTCTTCTCTAGCACGAACTTCGACCCTTCCATAAGGTAACACAAACTGCCCACGGCAGGGAATAGATAAATTATGATCGGTCGGAGATAGTTTCTACAATCGGAGAGAGTCGATAACATGGATTGAATGCAGTGTACCTTGATGTTGATTTCACTGCATAGAAATGATTGATGGATGACCGGGTCATTCATGATACATTCCTCTTCCCGCGCGGAGAAATATATATCAGAATACTACTCTCCTACAAAGTAGTATGATTGTAACAGAGCTAGCACTCTATTAGAAGTAGGTAGTGGGGTTCAGAGTCATGAGCAGCCAAAAGTAGAATCGATATTACTATTATTGCTTCAGCTGTCAGGTTTCCCGAGATTAAGGGATCATCTATCTAGATGGATCAAGGAAGCGGGAACTGCGGTTGTTTGAGATACTACTATCTTAGGAGTCAGTATACTACTAGGGTCTCTAAAATGTATTTCCGACACTACCTTCTATCCACCTGTCTATCTACTTAGGGCAATGAACTAATCTATACTCTGTCATGTAGGTAATCTATCCGACACACTGTCATCGAATAAGCATATAATAGAGCGACATAAGTCTAATGCAATTAATATGAATGATGGCTTGAGTCAACTAGCTTAAACTAAGCTACCCTAACATCTCAACATGCTACATTTGGAGTATCATATCATGCCATTGACTCTATTATTACCTACCTCCTAACTTGACACTTCAAGTGAGTGAGCCAGTCCATTCCCCAACCAACTAACCAGCTAGTACAATGTAGTTACTAGTTAGCTGGTTAGTAATTTCTAGTGCTAACGCATGCATGCATGCATACAGCCCGCCTGCAGCTGTTCGTAGAAACAATCCCAATCAGAGCGCAGCGGTGACCAGAACGCCAAGTCCACTCACTCATTCACTCACACTTCCATGTTCTTCCAGCCCAATATTCTGTAAGTAAGGTCAAGATTTGAAATCCGCCCTCGCTTGGATTTCAGCGCCTTACTCAAGTAAACTAAACACGGAGGAGATCTAGAATCTTGACGGGTTGTTACCGAGCGCATTGACTTTCGTTCGTTCGATTGTTTGTTTGCTCCCCTTTACTAACTAACCAACTCACTAATTAGTTACCCAACTAGCCAGGAAAGGTCAACCACCGGTGGATAGTGTCAAGTAAGTGGATGAACTATGCAGAGGAAGGAATTACCTCCGGCGCGAACTAAACCTCACCTAACTAACGAACGGAAGAAGGCCGTCAAAAACATGGAAGGGTTGGAAAGTGTGTGTAAATGTGAAGCCACTAACTAAGTAGCCTAAGTAAGTAGGCTAACTAACCAAAGATGAGAATTGTTGAATGAGAATGGTTCCTGAATTTTCTTGCTGGGCCCCACAACACACCGCCCACCCGGCGATCTTTGGCCCGAATGGGGATTGGAAAGTGGGGAATGAGTGGAAAAAGTCCGGTTCAGGAACAAGGCAAATCATTACTCTTTTCTTCCCACTCTGTTCTTCTTCTCAGGAACGGGTGGTGCTGCTAATCGGGAAAAGCAATGCCGTCAATGCCGTCGGCGAGATTCCTTTTTTTTTTTTCTCCTTCCTGGCGCTAAGTGGGTGATGGTGAAGTTTATCTCTGGGAGGATCTGGACGAAGTAACTTTTTCTTCTGCTGTTTTTTCTTGACCTCCTGGCTAGTTTGGGTGTGTTTTGTTTTTTGGTGGTATTTTTGCTTGCCTTGCGTCCTTCTGATTGAGTATTGATCGGGGGCTGTTCCGTGTAACCCTTTCAGGTCGGTGTTTACACTGCTGTACTAGTCTTGACTTACGTAGAAGGCGGTCTGTGTTGGTAGCTGTCATGGCTATATCAGTTCCTGATAAGTCTGATCCCAAGGTTAAATCTTTGACAGATTAATCTATTCCTCTGAACTAAGGATAAAAGGAGGGGAAGGGGAAGGGGAAGGGGCAGAGGCGTTGAAAGTCAATTCAGCTTGACGACATCCAGGCACTGAATGATCCCACACATTCATTACGAGTAATTTGAAAATTACCCGCACTGAAATCCATCGTATTGATGACACCACCGGTATCGAGCAATACTAGTCTCGGGACACTCGGACACACAATCCAGTTCCTTAGTATCTATCTACTTTAGTCTCCTTAGCGTTGGCGATTCGCTCTTCTTCTCTGGCTCAGATTCTATTCTCCACTCCACGCGTGTGAGAGATTCTAGCGAGGGAAGCTAAATCGCCTAGCGCTTATTACATTAATAATCTTAATCTGGAATTAGATATTTCCATTGCTAGTCTAGTCTGTTTAGCGTGGAACCCGCTACCACTATCTATCTACACTACTTAGTATCAGGTTAGTCTCTTTGGCATAGGGTAAGTGGGTGTCTGCTGCTGGTCAATTCTCCGTTTTCAGCCCTCGCCACACCACCCAGTAGACTAAGGTCTGCCCAAGTCTGGTTTGGTCCACGGGTTCATCGGATATCAAGGCACCAGGGGAAAGACCCATTTTTTCCCCCCTATGTATTTCTAAGAGAAATCAAGTTCCTACTACTCTCATGGTTAGCTGGTTGTTGAGGGGTGCACGTTGCACCTACCTACTATTCAGTAATCACTAGTAGTTAATCATTTGTTTTCGTTCTACTCCACCACCATACCACATTGGCGTGAGACTGTTAGACCAGACCGGGCCGGTTCATGACCTAGACTAACTACCAAGACGCTTGCTTCGTTCAATTCAACGTGGTCTGGTCTGCTCCAAGTGTGGCGCCGT